TTTTTTTTTTTTTTTTTTGTGTGTGTGTGTGTGTGTGTGTGTGTGTGTGTGTGTGTGTGTGTGCAGTCTTATCTTTCTGGTTACAGGTGGCCATTTGTCTGAGCCCTCGTCGTAACTCTTGTCTTTGCAGTTGTGGCCAACCATCCTCACCCAAATAGCTGTATGAGGGTCAGCTTTCAGTCTAGACATAGCAAAACTTATTCGGAGTCCTATCCGGGTCAAGATGGTAGTCTGTTTTGTCCATACATCCGTGTGGTTCTAAGCCTCATGTGGCTATTTTTCCCCTCCTCTTTTTAGGGTCTCATCCCACAGTACTTATGGTAAGTAAATAGTCGTGTTTTGCTGGATCCCACATGATTCCGCAGACTAAGGTGGCGGCGACAGCTTACGAGGGAAGTATAAACGTTTGAAGAAGTGGAGGTCAGGGAATGATCGGCGCCAAAAAAGATTGAGGGAAACTGGAAGAGAACCGGGCCCATACCCTGGAGCGAAAAAGAAGGTTTTTTTTTTTTTTTGTGTGTGTCATATGTTTTTGTGTCCGTTTGGTTGAACCGGGGGGAGGGGGAGGGGCACCGCACAGCCCGAAACAGGTGTAAAACAGGTGTCCGTCGAAGCGGACAAGTTTCGGTCCCTCACGACCACCCGACCAACAAAATGCGCCGCTACCCACATCAACCTCCACTGATTGCGGTTTTGTGGGGTCCCCGTTTTCTTTTACAGATTCTCGATGTGTAAGTAGTGTGGGGTGAGACCCTTAGCCTCATGTGGCCCTCATCCTTTCTTCCCCCCTGGATTTGCGTCCCATCTGGAGGGGTCTACAGACGTCTGGCGTCAGGAGATTGCCCCCAGACAGATGGCAGGTTGGATGCCCATCCAAATACCCATCCAGATACCCCCATCCAGATACCCATCCAGATTTCTGGATGGCAACCGTATGCGGTGTCCTTTTGTGTTTCGATATCCTGAGGGGTCCGATCTGTGAGTACGTCAGCAGGCCTGTGTTCCTTTTTTTTCTCCTTTCTTTTTTTGAACTCGTCAGCTCGCTTGCATACCTGTCGTCTTGGCTGACGGTCAGATATGCCTGAAAGGCATGCTCCATGTGCGAATTTTTTGTTCAATGTATCTTACTAGAACTGCGACCAGGTGCACTCAGAAAAGCCCCAATGTTAATTATACTCAAAGCCCCCAAAGGTGATTCAGATCCTTTCATGTTGGCATCTAGAGGCTGGCAAGTTCCCATTTCAAATTATTTCCTGATCTGCAAGAATCTCCATGGGCAAACGGCAACCTCTTTTCTGATCTGTCTCTGGATATTCCCTTGAGCATTTCCAATGATTGTTGGTTGTAGTGTCATGAGTACTAAGGGCATACTCTCACTACCGTTTTTTTTTGCTAAATCGCAAAATCTGCTATGCTGCTAGAGTCAAACTAGGGTTTTCCGGCCACCAAAATTGCAAACGGGGTAGCATTTGTCAGCGGCCTGGGGGGGCCACGGGGATGGGCATTTTGCTACCACCTCGAGAGGTGGTGGCAAATTCTCTTTTGGCCATCGCAAATTCTCTTTCGCCTTTTGGGAATCGGTAAAAGAAAATTTCCGCTCTTTGTGACCATGCTATGCACCAGGTTTGCAATTGCCAGAGAGTCCCGCTCGTGTTCTTTCTGATTTGCAACCCATGTGTGACCGGGGGGGGTATGATTTCAGCAAACATGGGAAAGAAAATTCAGCAGATTTTGCTAGACTGCCACCGCTGTGTGAGTACGCCCTAAAAGGGGCGGAATCTCCACCTCAATTTCTTTTTCTTTTTTTAACTACTTCAACTTGTCTTTTTTTTCTTTCTTTCAAAAAAGTCCATGGTGTTGTAGAGGCCAGTCACTGAGTGCACAGTGATCACCTGGAGCAGTAGGCCGTGGGTGTCCTGGAATATGAGACCACCTCC